AAACAATTCTCATGGCACTCATAGCTAATGCTCTGTTTCCCAAATTATTTGCCCTGAATTCCCAAAGCAAAGTCTATACTGCTTGTGCTTCTCAGTCTTCTCAATTGTGATTAGTATGTTTTGCATGGAGTAACTTTTTTTTTTTTAATCTCTTCCTCTCCACTTCAGCCATTTGTATTTGAAGAAACGGAAAGGCTCTTGGACTGGTAGCTCAGTAGAGAGACTTCTCTCTTGTGGCGACATTGGCATGCTGTTGAAAGCATACTGGGTATTTTTACATTTCAGAATACTGCAACTAACCAAACGGACCAGTAAAAGCTTTAGCAAAGGGTGAGGTGACAGCCATTGCAGAATACAGTACTTCTTTAGAGCTGTGCATTGCATAGCTTTGGATATATCGGTACAATGAAGTGCAGGATGACAGAGCTGAGTTTTATGAATGGGAAGAATCTGTCAGTTACTGCATTTAAATACTAGTTTTAGGAAAGAATTCTAAAATTCAGCCTTGTTTCATTTGAAGCTTTAAGCAATGAACAAAAATGTTTTTCAGTTAAGCATATTTTTACTGAAAAGTTTATGTATGTGTCTGGTTTTTCTCATTCTCTCCTGAGGTGAAAGACTGAAAATACTGTTTTGCTTCTAGGCTTCTGGAGAGATGAGACATGTTGTATACAAATGACTTGTGTTTCAAAGTAGTTGATAGATAAGGGTTTTTTTGGCTCATTTAGTCACTGCTGTATTTCACAGAAAGCTGCTCTCTGTAAACAATGACATGGATTTCATGGCTTAAAGTTCTTATTTGTTATCCTCTAGCCTGTCCTTTGAAAGATGATTGTTCATTGGGACATATACCTGATATGGAGTGAAGAGCTGGGATAAGAAAAAAGCAGGAGGGCTGGAAAAGAAAGATCAGAGGCTGGGAGGAGCAGGGCGGTAGGAGCACAGAACAGAGTAGTCAACCCTTGCATAGGGGTGGTGCATCATACATGGAAGAAATTTTTTTTCAGTGGTTACCAGCTCATCTGCTTCTCTGGCTTCAGAAGGTGTGAAAAAACTGCTTCTCATGTGCTTGTATCTCCCAAAAGACTCAAATCTTATTATTGAGGAAAGTTCCTGCTCTAGTCCTGCAGTTCTTAGATGAACAACGGGAGGTGGGACTAGAGACTATTTTTAAATCTTTATATTGCCTACAGAGAAGACCTATGGGAAGGGAAGAATCTTTGGGTGAGAGGTCCACAGATATTTTTCTCTTTGTCTAATTAACTCCTACTCACAATGCCTTGTCTGTTGCCACTGGTCATAGAGCCGTACATTGGGTACTCCTACGACTGCATAGGAGAAACAGAGAAATTGTCTGGTTTATTAATCGAGCAGGAAATTGTTTTTTACCCTGTGCTTTATTGTTATCATATGTTCTTGCCTTCCTATTCAGTGCAAAGTGTCAAAAATCAAAGTTTCAGTTAAGAGGAAAGGAGATCCTCTGAGAAGCCAGCATATTGACAGGTAAAAATATCCTACAGTAGTGATTTTACAGATGGGTGAGAAGCCTCTTCTGAGGTTTGTGTATCATTACGGGTGAAATGAATCTCAAAGAACACGGTTTTATGTCTAAAAGCAAGATAACTGATCTGATCAGGATAAAAAAATTTCCTTTAAGCCTAATATATGAGTAAACACTAGAAATATATGGCTTCAGAGATACCAGATATTCCTTTAGGGACAATCTAAGGTGGTAAATTACTTCAGTAGTCTCCAGTATCTGCAATGTACATGAGAACAAAGCACACAATGTTGTGAACAACTTCAGTAAGAAGATCAAATACACTTGATTTTATCTCCTTCAATAGCATTTATCCATTACACGCATCCCTCATAGCAGTGTTGTGTTCTTGGTGGGTAGATCAGATTTGGTGATTACACAAATAACCTTCGTCCTGTGCATGGAGTGAGTAGTTTCTGTATGTTTTGTAGATCAGGTCAGAAGCCTGTTTGCTTTCTAAGAGTAAAGCAAGCCATTACACAGATGATCCAGACACCCTAAAAATAATACAAACCAAATAAAAGACACTTCAAAAATTTAGCTCAGGACACAAATCTAACCAGTGCCATTGTGTGATTAATACCTCTTGTTTAATACAGCCAGCACCTAAACCTCTTCCCCTCCTTTCATTTTAGTGTCCTACCCATTTGGACCCTGACTTGTAACCAATTCACAGCCTTTTTGGTTTTTCTTGTTTCTGGGCAGGTGATAACTAGATTCAGCTCTATTTTATCTCAGGACAGGGCATGTAACCCAAGTTATTTAGGTTTAAATGAAAGATGATGTCCTTTTTTTTTCTTTATGAATATGGGTAAGACATTTATGCTTTGTTTCTGTGTTATACCTGCTACCATCAGCTGTGAGATACTAAGAAGTGGCAGCAATCTACAAATGGTTTAAGTCTTCTGAATCTTTTCTGAAGAGGTGCAACCAAGAAGTGTAAGTGGAAACAGTATCTTTGTCCCTAGGTTTGTCAGTCTGTTTCTTTTGAAAAGGCACAACTAGCCTGTAGGTGAATTCGTTAGACAACAGCAAAGGCCAGCACTATGGGACCAATACATATTTCTGTCTTTCACCATGCAGGATCCTACTAGTAGTTGCATCATGATTTTGTGTTTTGACAAGATCAGACTGGATTAAAAAATTGAATCCTAGCAAAACTCAACCGATACTAAACTCTCACCTATGCTGTATGTGTACAGACTTATATATATATGGCTCCCTTGTAATTTTTGGTTAGCTGTAATCTTGTTTCATCATGGCATTGTGCAACTATTAGCTATTTGTGCTGCCTTTACCTTCCATCTAGATTCTAATAGTGCTGACTGCCTAGGCATGAAGTCCTCAGTGCCTGGGGAAACTCCAGACAGGACAGAGTGGCAGTTTATTCTGTGTATGTCAAGCTTGTCCTCTGTTCTGCGCAGCGGTTTGCCATCGATTGTCAAACTAAGCTTAGATCCCAAGCTATTGTAGAAATGTGTGGGGTTGTCCAAGCAGAGCGGGGAGAAACTCAAGCCATCCAACAGAAGCACGCTACCAAAGGGCAGAACAAAATTGCTGCAGCCACGCAAAGACTGTGTAGCCACGCTTTGTCGCATAATGTTGGCTATTACAGCTTTGCAAGTGTGAAATGAGAGGGTTGGTGGGAGGCTCTTCCAAGAGAGCGTGCGTCTTTCACCAGGTTTTTGCATGAAGACAGATAATGCTACAAAAGACCACATGTACATGTTGAGTTTCCCTGTGCTGTTTCTTTCACTTTCTTTAGGGTTTTTCATTACTGAACCTTACAGGGGAAGGTAGCAAAGCTTTGAACATGGTTTTGCTTGTATCGAAGCAAATTGGCTAACCTATTAAAAGTAGCCAAGAGGCTTCAGAAAATGTTAATGCCTCTTTTAAAAAAAAAAAAATAGGAGCTATGTAACTCAAAGACCAACAGTGCTTGTGGATAGAAAATTGGAAGAAAATTATTCTAAATCTTACTTTCTATTTTACATTAATAAAATTGTAATAGAGTGAAAGTGATCAGTCACTGTATATTTTATAATACTTTAACAACTATCACAGTTATACATGTAACTCTTCTATCTTTTTCTTTTGTAGAGATACTTTATTTCTAAAGAAATTGAAATGTGGTACATATTGTAGTTGCTCGCATTTGGAACTGCTACCATTGTAATACAAATTTTAATGATATTTGCTAGTATTGTGTATTCTGGGCTTTTGATATTTTGTTTTTTCCTTAAGGAAAAACCTCACCTGGAATCAAATTACTATAGCTTACACTTCTATTACAAGTTTTTCGTTCTCATGGTTGTGATTTCCATTACAACCTAATGATAGATGTTATATTACTTATCTCTTGCAGAGGTGGTTATTGCTTTAATGTTTTGTGGTTGTAGGATTTACTTTAAACTTTAGGATTTGTTTAATTGTATTTTCTTACATTGCTTTACTCAAATGTAATAGTTGGAATTATGATCTCCTCATTTGTTCAGTTGTCGCTTACCGTGTAAGATACAGATGTTTCTCTGTTTCTTTCCTTGACAAATCCAGTTGTAG